GGGCACCTTTTGAATTATTTTCTCAGTGAGAGAAAATCATTACAATCGTTAGGCCTTATACAAAACTGCCGAACACTAACCGCATGATGAAACACTCCCTTTTTTGCATAGACTAATAAAATAAATAATTGTTACTACTGCTACTACAAGTTAATCAGAAGCAAAAAGACATTTAAGAAAAAGAACAAAGATAACCGTACATTCTGTTATTCCTTTAGAAGGAACATATGCATCAACATATGACAATCCCAAGGCTAGAAATGCAAGAAAATGAAGTTCTCCTTGTTGAAAATATTAACAATTAAATAATTTATTTTAGGACATGCCAAAAAATTGGGGTGGGGGTGGAAAATTACCTTGTGTTCAGGTTTTGGGGCTGGCAGGTCATTAATTGACAGTGAAAAAGTTAACTGAATTGGAATTTACATATGATGCTTGGCTACACTTTCAAAAGAAAATGTTGCTGATATATATATATCCATTACTCAATTCATTTGCAGCATATCATGGCTATGCCCTGCAAGTCACTATATCATATGTATTTAATGGACAAAGTTTTCTCTGCTGTTAGTGCTTTAGATGCAATAGCCAACAAACAGTTAACAAGGGTCTGTTCTGATTCTCTATAGCCTTTGTATTTAAGAATTACCCAGCACTACAGTACCTCATAGCTTCTGGCATCAACAAAATTAGTGGGCTATGGTTGCAGAATCTAAGAGCAAAGAAAACTAATGGATTTTCAGGCTTTTGACTTCTACATTGAACAAATCTGATTTGGAGTCAAAGAAAGAATAATTGTGGAAACCCGAGGTGCCATTTTTATAAGCCCTTTCCTGACTATAACCACAATTTCACCCATGTCTTGGTCTCTTTACACATGTGAATAGTTCCCTTGACTTCAGCAGGAGTAATAACGTGAAAAGTGAACAGAATTTGAACCTTTAAACTTAAATGCATTCCATAGTTAAAATGTATTAACTCTAATAATTTGAATACATCACTTAGCTTCTCTTGGAGTTGCTTTTTCATATTACCAGGGTGGAAACTCAACAGGACAAGAACAAGAAAGGCTAATTTTTATTTAAAATACTAAAGCAAGGTTATAATAAGAAAAAAAAAGTCTCAAAGGAGGCATCCCATAGAGACACAAGTACCTATTTCGTAAGAACTAAATCTCACATTTTTTTAAATGGTTATAGCTACATTAATTTAATGGAGTTACATGGATACAAGATCAAATTCAGACCACCTGACACTATACATCAAGGGATTTTAATGGCATTGAGTTAGCACTAGCGCAAATCTCAAGTAGTTTATGAATCCCAGAAAAGTTTAGCACACCAGGGAGAGCTTGTGTCTTCTGAAGAAAGTGTGAATTAAGAGTGTTGAACTACAAAAGGTATTATTCAAATTGTTCCTTTTCAAGAAGTAACAAGATTAAATATTTATAGTCAGAGCCAAATGTAAACTGGAAAAAAAATCATGATGAATATATGCACTTACAGATTTTAGAATTAAGAAGAGAAGTCATGGTTTCTATACTCTGATCACAAAGCAGTATTCAATTTAAGTATTTTCTTGAATTATTCCATGAGTCCAACAATTTCTCAGGGGGCGCTTCTACACGTGCCTATTAATGCGCAGCAGCAAGTTCCAGAGCTCATCACTCCAGAGTTTATTGCTGCACATGCACCCAGGATCACAGCACGTTGAGCCACGGCGAAGTAGCCTTGGCTGGCAGGGGGCCCAGAGGGTCAGCCTGCCAGTACAGGACTGCTCCCCTTGGCTCAATGTGCTGCGGAGGGTCTGACTGGGGCACAAGGGTGCTTCAGCACAGGGCTACCCAGCAGGCAGCCCCCACACTGAAGCACCCTCATGCATAGGCAACAACTTTTTTTTTTGCTAGCGGGTACTTTTTTTTTCTCCCTTTGCATTCCTGTGCTGAGTCCCAGACATACCCAGGAGAGGCAATGACTTACTTCAGCCTGGCTCACCTGACAGCTCATGGGTGCTGAGCAGCCACTATTTTTTTCAGTGGGTGCTAGAGCCCCAGAGCATCCACAGAATCAGCACCTATGCCCTCATGCCCCAGCCAGCCAGGCCAGCACCTACACATGTGCTGCTGCTGAGTTATTTACTCCACAGTAGAATAGTACTTGTATTTATTTACAAGTATAAATTATAAATTAGTTTACTCCAGCCAAACAGGGGCACACATGTAGACATCAAGACATTTACTGTGCAGCTAATTAGTCTTCTACACAGTAAATGTCTCTTATAGACATGCCCAGGGAAGCCTAAACTGTAGTGTTTAGGCAGTGGACTAAACACTACAGTTACTTACCAAAAGAAAGGAAAAGAAGAAATCACTCATAAAAAGGGGGGGGGAGGGGGGGCCTTAAGTAGATTACAAAGAGTAATTGATTATCCCATAGACATTTCTAAATAACTTAATGAAGTAATGTAATTTCAAACAGAAATGCATGAAAGATCAGAAGTAAACATGCCCCAGTGTTTATTATTTTTCAAAAACGTCTTGGTGCCATTAACAGCGTTTTCTTATTTTAAAAAAATAGAACATAGTTTACAACAGCTCCAGTACGTAGATCTATTGCGTCTCACCTGAGTTCAGGAGAACTAAGACAGTGGATACAAGACTTGTATGTATAAGGGAGATATGAGAGGATATTGAGAGCGGGGCACCTAATTCCTTTGTAAAAATCTTAAACTCTTTCATCTTTTGGTATATTTCTCCTCATACAACCAGAGAGCTATCTAGTAGAAAGAGTATAGTGCTTCTCGTCAGGGCCAAGAGTGCTTTGGAACTCACGCTAGGAGAGAAATAAGGTTGCACATGCGAAATCTAGACTGGCTTAACTACGCAATGGCTTCCAGACAGTTCTGTCAGAGTTTTGCTTATCAGGGCCAAAATATTTAAGTTATTTCAGACAATACAAACATAGTAGCTTATCTATATAAAAAGGAGCTACTGTATTAGGAGGTCAATGTGTTTCAGACTCAGCTCTAAATGTGTTACTATTAGATCACTATCATTCATTTCTGTCAGCAGTCCATATTATAGCCAAAGAAAACTACATTTCAGATGCTCTTTCCACAGTCACAAATATAGGAGGCATATTTTATGGACATGTGGTAAAACAAGATTCTCACACTCGCAGCCAGGTATGAAACATGCTCAAATCCGGTGACTACTTTGCATGCAACTTATGCAAACATCCCATGCATACTTTATAGCAAGTTACTTGTAAATAGCCCCTCTGAACTCAAAGTAACTACTCACATGTAGAAATGTAGCAACTTGCAAGCCAGGCCTAAATTTCTCTCAGCTGAGTGAATATGGAATAGGAGCATTCTGGCCCCAACCCAGTACAACACCTAAGCAGATGCTTAACTAATTATACAAATAAACCAATTACACTGAACTTTATCTGTTCCTGTGCTTAAAGTTAGACATACACTTCCCTGGCTTCGAGCCAAAACACTCAGTCCATTGTATGATGTACTGTCCCACGCAAGGAACTCCAAGCACATCTAGCGGGGAACTACAAGTGTTGGAAGGAGCAACCCAGAAGTCAAACCGTAAGTTCCTGATATGCCCATGGCTTCCACAGATGAGAATCAGGAGGAGCATGACTGACTGAGGTCAATGGAGTTAAAAGAATGGAGAAAGCAGGATTCCTTGTTTTAAAACAACTACAAGGGTTTTAATAATAAATTCTAAATACAATTATAGTAAACCACATAACACTAACTGCATTATACAATACTAATGACAAAAAGATTATACTAATTTATGATTCATTTCATCAGGCTTTTAAGTTGATTAGCTGCAACCTATGAATAGGCCTTTTTCCCCACCAGGAATTCAACAAAATCTACTATTGTAAACTATGAATCCACTGGTAGATTGGCTGAGGGTGTATGGGGTGAGAGGCAGGGAGGAAGGGAGGAGAAAGAGAAAGTGTACTGGTAAACAAACAGGAGAGCACTGCCTAAAAAAACAGAGAAAAACTACTTTTTCCATAAAGTCACAATTCTCCTGGCTGATATGGGCAAAATGACATTTTGATTTAAAAGCACATTTTAGTCTCATTAACAATTCATCAACAGCTTTTGACACATGAGTAATGAGATGATATCATCATGTAACAGGTGACCACAAAGAAAGGTCTAAACAGCTTATCAAATTAGACAAATAACACACTGTATCAAATTTTCTAGGATTAAGTTACACTTAAAAAAAAGTTATAAGAACTATTTGTACTACTCCTAGAGCATGTCTGAAGTCGTGGAAAAGTGACTTTTTAGAAAATTAAGTGCACTTTACCTGTCAAAACATTCCCACTATATGGACAGACTAAAAAAAAGCAAGCAGTTGCTTTGAATGATTTTACAATGAACCTGAAGAAAAGCACTAGCAGCTACAAGGCAATGACCTCACTCAAAATCTCTATAGCAAATGTTTCTAAAGAAGAAGAAGGATACTTTTTAAAAGCAAAAGTAACAGACAACAGCGTGACCCCCGAAAACACTGAATGGTGCAAAATGCAGCAGGAACAGCACGGGAGCAAGCCTGTGGAGGCTCAAAGGGCACGGGATGTTATTCCAGACGGTCCCTTTCTTTCTAAATAATGAAGGGCAAGTAGGCTCTTTAGAGTCCACCTGTGTCGGGAGCAAAATTAAGGCATACACTATGCATCGGGGCTTGATTTGAAGAAGGGCAGTTTAGGATGGCTGCGGGAGGGTCTAGGAAGCGGCTCAAATTCACCCCTAAGTGCCGGCCTGATCACAGACGAGGGGAGTTGCTCGCTGCAAGGCGCCGCATGCCCCCGGCCCCGCATGCCCCCGGCCCCGCTGACCC